CTGTGGCAGTGAGAAACTTGCAAACTAGAAGACAACACAGTCTAGTAATTGAGTTAAAATGTTGATCAGTTGAAGTCCGGCGAGTGTTCTGTCAGTTGAAATAACAGGATTCACAATTTTTTCTACAAAGGTCGATATTTGCAGTCCTGAAGTTGGTCTGGCATTTAATGTGAGGGTTAACTGACGCGCCTGCCTTTTGCTGAATACGGAAAGTATAAGTGATGAAACATTTTGTGGCCGCTACAACGATTAAGTTCTAAAGCGCGTGCAAATTTGCTTTATGTACATACGTACAAATATGTTATCTTAATGGCCAGACCAGAATAACTTTCAGATATCTTCAACTAATACCAAGCTATTTTCGGAGGGCGAGTAGAGCTGACAACGAAAGATTGCTCGTGGGTATAACCATTTCAATTTTTCCAAGGAAACAAGGTTGCTCTCCATGATATGGACGATTAAAGTAATAATGAATTGTCAGATACGCAAATAAATGTATCTACCCATTGCGCAGTTTAGGAGATTAGTAGGACAATATCATTCCACCCTAGTACGGCCAGGCTCAAACTCCGAGACTTGACTGGAAACGATTACGAGTGTAGTGTGGCCATTAAGGGTGACAAAACGTTAAACGCAAACAAGAGGCGCCTACGTAACACCATTGAAAGACCTTCTTTTCTGCTGAGCTCATATTTTGCAACCCGACAAAGACCCTTCTGATTCCAATTGCGAAGTATGCCTTGCCATTGTACGCCACGTCACATCGTGTTTACGAATTTACATGCACTTGCGGATGCAAATACATAGGGCGATCACAACGGCAATGGGCAGCCAAAGCTAAGAAGCACTTGCCGAGGTGGCTATTAAAACGGGAGAATAAAACTCCTCATTATTCCATTACTGAACACCTATTGGATACGGGCCATTCTGTAGACCCCAAAACATCCTTCCGAGTACTTGTTCGGGCACAAACAACTCGTACATCAGGGTACACGGAGGCAGCCTGCATACGACGGTCAAAACCCGGTCTATATAAACAGCTGGAACATGTTGTGAACCTTGCTTTGCCCTGGTAACATCCGGCTCCTGATTCACACCCCCCCTGCCCGCCAGTTTACTTTAACTTTTCTTTCTCTATCTCACTATCCACAGTGTTTCACTTGCTTACGCTACTAATTAGACTAATTAGCCCAATTAACTAATTGACCGTCCTGACCTGTTTTTATGATTTCTTCTGTATGAATTCAATCGTTGTATTCTCTCGTTAGTTACTCACTTTATGTAGTCAGAGGACGCAGCTGATGAGCACTTGCGAAATTTATGTTTCCAATAAATTCTATTGTTTACTCAATCTTAAAATTTGCACCTGCGAAAAGGTGCTTCAAGGCTATTTTGTCAGTGATGACGATGACCGTATTTAAATGGACAAGTTTTAATAAAATTAAGGCTAAGTGCGTCCCTAAGAGAAGATACATTCAGTGGTTCTCACACAAATCGTGAATACATCCACAGTTATTTTGCAACAGTCCCTATTACTTTGTGGGCTAAACTAGTCCGAAAACTAAAGAAAGGAAGAGCAGCTTAAAATGTCTTCGACCACCGAAAATGCCGTTCACGACATTTTTAAGTGCAACAAAGGACGAAGCCCAAAGCACGCCAGAGGACATTGGTGCAACACAAATCAAGTGCGTGTGCATTATTCTATAAGGATATTTGGCTTACGCTGCATCTACTGCGCTCTTTCGTTCCGCATTCACCTGACTCTGATGGTAAGACAAGGTCACGACGAACAGTGATGGGCTCACATCCGACCAGTCATACAACCCAACTGCTGGGTGTGCGATTTTCATAATATAAGCGGTCTGCATATGCGTTTGGTCCTGTAAGCCAGCAACAAAGACTAAATCCTACCTACAAAGCGAGTCTCTTGATTGCACCGAACAGTCAGCCCAGTCGCCGAGGTCTTCTACGTGGTTAAAATACTCCGTTTCAGAGAGCAAACTCGACAGTTTTGCTTGCCTTTATGCACTGCATCCCCCTTCTTAGAAAACCCTCCGATGCTTCGAGTTCCCTGTTGAATTCTTGCTAGCTTGACGCGATGCATGCAGTTGAATTATATAATAACGGTTCTTTCTCAGAAAAATATCAAATAACGTCCAACTTTCAAAAGTTACGTCAATTTCTGTAGGTGGACAGAAGAGGACAAAACAAAGTACCTTTTGATAGTCCCGTATGGACAGGAAGACAGACGGTCTCATGTGCTTCCCAAAGTAGTAAATCCAATCACTGGACTCTGCAAAGCAATGATTTATGAGAAGAAGATACGTTTTAGAATTTTTCTACTCTAAAGGATAAGAAAGTGGGAATACTCTTTGAACACAAATCAAATGGGAAGTGGACGTAGCAAAGAACGTAGATTGTTTGACTTACCCACTGCGTCGAGGTCTTCAGTACACGTGGTGACTAAAATTAAAAAAAAATAGGGAAATTAGCGGCTATAGTGGCAAGACAATCTTCAGTAAAATCTGAGATGCAAACTGCGAACAGAGATTGAAAGGGGGGGGTAAGATAGAGGGGATTAAAAATCCTCGCTCTCGCTCTCTTGCTTAACTGAGCAGCCGTTTGCTTACTTTCATGAAGGGTAAATGTCTCTGTCTGATAACCCTCATTGAAAGTTTAAATCTAATCCTAAACATGACCCTTAATGTTATTCAAACCCTATCTTAACCCTAACCCCATACATGCATGGCCCGGAGCCTAACTATAAGAATCAGGTTAATCTCCCTGAAAAACGCATCGGAGAGCTCCTGCAATAGGAGGGCTTCTTTTCCCATGACTGAAGAAGACGGCTGGTAAAATTACAGCACGCGTAAAAATACCGAATTTTATTTCGTGTACACGGTCGTTGATCCTGAAACAGAGATGACGAAACGTCCGCTTCATCAAATCGTGCGGTTACGCTCTCGATATTGCCGCAGAAATTAATAGCCCAATACCCCATAAGTGACGATAGTAGGGAGTTATGTTGGATTTAGCAGATCACACAATTAATACATACCGTACTTTCAGCAGTATGAGGCGCCCTTCAAAGCCTTTGCTGAAGGGACGACAGTGCGCCTTACATATCGATTAAGTCTGGTTCCTGCTCCAGGCGATTCAATGGGTTCACTGTTATAACGGTGTAACATCTGCCGTGTGTCACCGTCGAATTACGCCCTTATGAATCCCAAGGAAGAACACAATAAGAAGGGCGTAACCGTGGATTCCACGCGGTTGAGGGTTTATTGGGTACAAAACCAGAGTTGCTGTCTCGGAT